ATACCTTTTTTTTTTTTTTTTTAACTAGCACGGCACTCACTGTGTTTTTAGTATAAAAAAATGTCAACTTTCTATAAACATACAGCACATGACCAAATTTCCAACTAATGTACAAAGTGCGACCACGAGGGAAAGGTCAGAGAATAGCTATTTGCGCTAGCATGGGGCGTTTTTCATATTCCTCTAAGAACTCTATTTACAGCAGTGCCCGGGTGTTCACGGACTTTCTGGTGAAGGTAATTGGCAAATAGGTTTCTACAGTGCTCCCTCCTTTTAATACTTTTTACTTTTGGGGTCCTGCACTCTGTGCTGAGCTCAGCTGAAGTCCTCCTCGACAACACGCTCACGGCGAGGACCAACTGTCCGCTCTTGAGGGATGCTTGGGAGAGGCGTACGCACGCACCGGAGGAGAGAGAACGGCGGGGAGGAGAGAGCTGACAGATCTTTGAGAATGGGAGCAGCGGACAAGCAATTCTCATGACAAGCTGAAACTTTCCTTCTAGTTTAGCAGGCAGCGAGGAATGCATTTGGTCAGAAATGTCAGTGTAAAGAACAAGGGATTGCAGATCTCGGGGCCATCTACAAACCCCATCTTCCAGTGGCAAGGAAGAGGTAGATTTGAAGATGCTCCCAGGCTGGGTGATTATTGGCATTTGGCCTCTTATTAAATGCAGCAGGCAAGAAAATCATCTGCTCTGTTGTTTTAGCAGTCGGCTCAGAAGGATACCGAGACACAGGAGCAAATTCAAACAGGTGCTTCAGTCATTAATCCCTGCGCTGGTGTCTACCATGGAGACACCCTCGCTCTCACCCTCCACACCCAGTGCAGGTGTGGCTGAAGGTCACTGTTACTGGGAATGACATTTAAGCCAGGACTGGAATTCAGAAGGGATTTCTTCCTTAGATCAGCTCTAAAGCGTAAACAACGTAAACCAGCATCTTTTGTTGCTTTCTGAGATCTCAAACTGGCTCGAAGCAGGAGAGATAACGTGACTGGTCCAAGGCATATATCTTCAGTTACCTCAAGGAAATCGGTACCTTTGGCCTCACCTATTCATCCAGCTGGAGGTGCTATGTATTGCACTGAGAAAAGATGCAAAGAAAGGAAGCTTCACGTGCTCCAAAAGCTTCGTGATCCAAGGAAAAGTATTTTACAACTAGAGGAAAGCTTTATGTGTGATACAGCTGGACAAACAGCGACTGAACTGGGATCCCTGGAATGTAAATGACAGCAATACAGTCTCTGGATGCAGATGTTGCCCTGCACAGCTCTCCTGCACAGAAACATGCATGTGAGCACGTGAGAGGCCAAGCTAGTGTATGAATATGCTTTTAGGGCTGTAGAACAGGCTCTGTCCCAGTCGTAAAGCAAAGCTGATGAAAGCCAGATGTGGCTCAGAGAGGATGCTGAGCAACGTGAGAAGCACAACTCTGCTTTGGTCAGAACAGGTACTTGTCCACATGGCTCAAGAGGAAGTGGCTTGGTGGTTCATGATAAATGATGCTGGGGCAAGGCAGGGGATAGTTCCCCAGAAAAATGTTGTTTCAGCTGCAAAAACAAGATCAGATTATTTGAGAAGAATGGAAGAAGCAACAGAAGAGAAGAAGCACAAGAGAAGTGGCTCCTTTAACAACCTAGGAGCACATGCTAGACCAGAACTCATCCAACCTCGTGGTCCCCCGTTATCACCAGTGGACAAAAGCAGACATTCATTATCCTAAAGCTGACGTATAAAATAGTTAAGTGTATTATAAACCCTAACAGTCTGTGGATGACTTTAAGTGCTCTCTGTTGCCAGTGGACTTCACACATCAGCTGCTGGCTGGCACAGGTTCTGTGCATCAGGGTGGTTATCTCAGGGGCAGCTTTCCTTGCCCTCTCCAGGGCAAATTTCAGTGCATTCTTGTAGTGAGGCCTCCCAACACAGGAAGGTGAGGGGAAAAAAATGTATAATATTAGACATCTGCTTAAGAATCATCAAGGATCATCACCACATGCAAAAGGGAAATTATTTAAAACCCGTGTGGGTCATGACCTAGCAATACTCTCTTATTGCTGGCTGCTTTTATCTGAGCAGTGTGATGAGCAGAATCATGAGCTGATACAAAAGCGAGAGCACTGGCTGCTACAGAGAAGTGGAGTGATAAATCCAGAGAACAAGATCTGTCTTAGAGAGAGAAGAGCTCCACCACCAAAATGAAAAGCAGAGGGAAAGGACTGAGAGCCTGAGTTGTACAGAGTAGTACATGAAATGAGAGGGGTGGGGGACGAGCCGGGAGGATGGACAGGGGCAAGCATCTCTCCTGGTAGCTAGAAGACAAAGAATGCTGTTGGTAAGGTCAATCTTTTCCTGCAGTACAACTAGGTGCAATGTTGCAGCTGAGAGCACCTTTCCTTCCCAGCTGCTGTGAGAAAGGCTCTTCAGGTCATCTCCCCTCTGACTCCACGGCCGCATCCATCCCTCAGTGAGAGGCAGCTCTGGGAAAGCACATGCAGAACATGCACCATTTTCTTTCAGGTGGCCTTTTACTTGTAGAAGAACCTGGTTTTGCACACTGACCCCTCCGAGCAGGCAGCTAACGAACACCTCTGACTCTTCCCTCTCTTGTCTTTGTTCTCATGGCCAGCTTCTCTCCAGCTGGGTGAAAGAAGGGCCACGGACAGTCCTCGCCCTTCTCAACTGGATGGGCAAAAGCTCCGACGCCATCGGGTGTATCTGATGCCCTTCCTCTGTGCATGCAAGGCCAGCGTTTGCTGTCGCATCTCCTGCTGCTGTCTGAGGCCCGTGTCTTTTCAGTGATAATCAGGTCTAAATTGGTCCCTAGGAGGAAAAGTAAATGTTGCTCGTGCCTGTGCCCATAACCTCCAGTCCTCGCGCAGCAATTTACATTTACACTTTCCAAAGGTCCCAGGCTGGATGGACTTACATCCTGCCCCTGCTTAGCAGCAATCTGGCCTGCTTCGGCCCTGCTTTGGGAAGCCATCAGTGAGAACAGAAGGGTAGAGTGGGGTTGGGGAAATTTGCTGTCACTTTAATATAGGTTTTTCTGGTTTTGTTTGTCTTTGTGGTTTTTGTTTTTGTTTTTAATCAAGTTTTTATATTTGGTCCATAGGTCTTCTGTGGTCCCGAATTATATCACCCTTAATGATCAGCTTGGTTATTCCTTCCTATACAACATTCACCAAATTTACAGAAATGGAAAGAAAAGGAAACAAAATGAAACATTTCTTTTTTTACAAAGAAAAAAAAAAAGATTTGGCTTTGACTATGCCAACTACCTAGATCAATGGAAAGTCCTTAAATGTGGGCAAAATGCCATGGCCAGGTAGGTTACAGGGAGGGCATGAACTTGGGGTTAATAAATGTACCCAACCCGTTGTCTCTGGCCACAGGAGGAGTCAGGTCACAGAGGCCAGGCTTTGCCTCTGAGAAGGGTGCTCTGGAGGAGCCGGACACTTGGAGAGCCCTCCTCCTCTTCCCCATCTCCTTCACAGCTCAAGTTGGTGTGAGGTGGAAGGGAATTGGGAAGGAGTAGGGTCCGGGTACAGGTAGATCCCTGGAAGGCTGGTGGTGTTTTCTCCAGTGGTACCAAGTTGCTGGAGTCGGTTGTTGGCACAGTCGGACTCTTCAGTAAGCTTGGCCTGTCTCTACTGGTAGGAGGCCCAGAACGGCTGAATGTTCTCCCAGCTTCATCCTACGCTGTGTAGACAGACTCACGTTCTTGGCCAAATAATCAACAGCGGCTGAAGAGGAGGGGAAAAAAAAGGAGGGTGAAAAAACAGCACAACATTAGCATTTAATGGAAATGAGGCTTTCAGCATCAAAGGGGGTGTAACCAACAGACCCCACAGTCTTACAAAGAGAGGCCCGGAGCAGTGGTTTTCACAGACACAAGGGTCCTGATGCACTCCTAGCAGAGTGCAAACAGACGATATAAGGAAGAAATTTTAGATATAAGGAAGAAATTCTTCCCTGTGAGGAGTGTGAGGCCCAGGTTGCCCAGAGAAGCTGTGGCTGCCCCCTCCCTGGAAGGGTTCAAGGCCAGGTTGGACGGGGCTTTGGGCAACCTGGGCTGGTGGAAGGTGTCCCTGCCCGTGGAAGGGGGGTGGGAACTAGATGGTGTTTAGGGTCCCTTTCAACACAAACCACTCTAGGATTCTAGGATTCTATTGTGGTCCTGCCAGAAACACCTAGGTAGGTCTCCATGGACCTACTGAAAAGAGCTACAACTCTACTTCTGCCACATAAAACGATGTTTCCAGGGGAACTGCCTGAGGCAAGCCTGAGCAGAAAGCCAGCAGGATAAGCCTTCCAGCCTCACCTCCCTGTATCATCTCACGGTGGCAAAGCCAACTCCTGCACTCAGTGATGCTGGTGTAAATGATTCCTGAGATTTCAGCGAAAACTCACCAAGTCTGGACAGGGCTTGAATCTGACTCATCTGCTGTGTGCTGACTCATCTCTGGGAGCTCTGCTGCCTGCATTCATCCACCCTTCCTAAGGGAAACCGCCTTGCTTATCTCCATCTGGGTGAGAAACGCAGCCACAACTCCTGAGGCGATGTGTGAACCTGTATCCCAGCTCGCCTGCCTGCCCCATGGTCTGAGGGGGAAGAGGACTGGGGCAGGATGGTGACATTGCTCATTAGCTGAGCTTCAGTCAAAGTCTCTCCCTTTCACTAGCTTTAATGTCTCAAATTAGATTAATAAGGAGCTGGCAGGAGATGTACAATCGGTGCCAATGAGTAAACAAATTTCAGCCATCAACATCTTGTCAGACGCCTGCCCCAGAGGAGGTCCCTTCCAGACACAAATTCTTATTAGACTTGTCATATCTATTAGAATTCCTTTCACGCTTCTGCGTTCCATCACCGGCATCATTAACACAGCTCCGGCCTTTGGGAACCGCAAGGACCACATCAATCTGGCATCCCTGCTCCCCACCGGCTGGGACAGCACAGGCTGGAAGCGAGCAGCCTCGGCACAGGGTGAGTTATCCGGGGCCACAGCGAGGCCTGCCTGGGAGCATGGCTTCTGCGGGGGACAGAGTCTGAAAGAAGCTGAGTTGGGCGAGTGGAGCTGGCATGCTGGCTGGTGCTTCTCGGGATGGGGAGCCTGGGGAGCTCGGCTCCAGGGCTGGGCTCGGTAACGTTGCGTCAGGGTGCCTCTAGCATCAAGGGGGCGCGTACACAGGATTAGACCCCAAGCTATGGCTCTAGTCCAGACCTTTTCAGCTCGGTCCCTTGGTATTTCAGGTAACCACATTAAATAATGTCTTTGAGAGGCTGTAGGTAAAGAGGAAATTTGCTCCTCAGACAGGCTGCACGTGTGTGTGGTTGTGTCTCCGTGCTTTGGGTGAATTCAGATGGGTGTTTGGGCAAGGAGGGAGGTGAATGGGCAGAGCTGGTCACCCTGCTCTGGGCAGCAGCCAGCAAAATGAAAATTTGAGGGCAATCCCATCCTTCTGTGAAAAACACACAAAACTCCTGATACTGCTTCTTGTGCCGGTGGTGAGGGTTCAAAGGCACCAGGGTATCCCATGCCAGAAGGCAAAGATACAGTTTGTTGGTTTAATACAGTGGAAGCCAAAATAAAGCTAGAAACTTTCTGAAAGTACTCTGGGTTTTTGTTTGCTGACGTGAGAGAGAAAGCGTATCTGGTTTTAGCGATTCTAAAACAGAGAATAAGGAGGAGAGAGGTGGGGAGAGAGAGATTGTCTGTTCAAGGCCTATGAAAGCTACAGATTTCCTATTTACAAGCCCTGGTTATATCCCCTATTATACAGAGCCTGCCCCCACCATAACAACCCCCCATTTTTATTATATCAGTATTCACTAAAGAGTGTTTTGGTCCTTTTTTTGCCACATCACAGAAGAAAGAAACATATGATTCGAACCAAACATCAGTAAATAATGATCTTGCTTGTGGAGGTCACCTCACACCGATAGGTATTGAAACAGCATTTGAAAAGCAGCAAAGAATTTAAAAAGCAGGAGGAATTAGAAGTATCTGTTAAATACAACATGCACTGAGAAAGACAAGAAAAAATGTTGTATATCAAGGTCAACTTCGTGTAAATGATTGCTCTAACAGGACTAATTACCAATGAAAACTGTTTCCTTGCATAGAGATTATTATAAATGGGGCTCATTACAGAAAGATTTATAGTGAAGTGGATTTATATAGTGCCTGTACAGAGCTGTAAGCGCAAATATCTATACACATACATGCACACGTGCAGAATTTGCTTCTTAACGTAGATCCCACCTTCGAACAGCTACAGCTGGTCTGTGCTGCCTCTGCCATGCAGCGTGGCATTGGCTTTGGCTGTAGGACTTGCCATCACGCCGGGAGTGACTCCAGCTCCCAGCCCTGGGAAGCAGTGGCACTGCGGATGGTGTGTGATGGTTTCTCCCCTCTCTTCTTCGTCCCAGCAGGGAGAAAGCCTTCATGAACTGTTACCTGCGTGTCTGTGGGCATGGGACACCTCTGGACTAACTGTTGACCACGCAAGACTTGCCGCTGGGCACAGAGCCGGTGGCAGCCTGGGCTCTCTTGACTAGTAACAGGAAAAAAATCCTGTGCTGAACAGAGCCCAGTGGGCTCTAAACTGGACTTGTAAACTGAATGGGTGTCCAGCAGAAAGGAGGGAGCTGTGTGACAGAAAGCAGGGAAGAGTGGGCAAATAAAACATAAATAGGGCTGCGTGAGCAGTTTTTCATCAGCGCAAGGAGAGGCCCAAATAAAAATTCCTGCAGCAAACCCAGACAAACCCTTCTTTCTCTTTCCTCCTCTTTTGCTGGTCTCTCTCAGAAAACATAGCTCGTCCTCCTTATTTTTTACACACATGGGTGTGACTAACGTCTTGCCCAAGGGAATCTTTATTGGAAATACATGGTATTGGAATTTGTTTAAGATTTTTATCAATAGCACGTGTGTCCAGCCTCACATCCAGAAGCGAGGGGAAGGTCAAGGGGTCACAGATCAAACTCCCAAAAAACAAAAAAAGGAGGGGTGGGGGGAAGCTGCTATTGATCCCGTCTGCCGCCACAGCCGGTTCTCATTTAGCTGTAGAAGTTAAAGACATTAAAGGGCTGTGACGGAGAGGGGAATAAAAAGCCACAGCCAAATGGAAGGAAAGGTCACTGAGGACAAGTATGGGCAAGCCGGAGCGCTCCCGGAGGAAGAGGATGCACCTTTAACCCTCTGCGGATCACTCTCTTACAACACCACACTTATTATTAGTTTAACACCGGCAGGTGAGCCCTTTGCCAGGCTTGCTGGTGTTTTTGTGACCCAACCATGCTGGAGGAGAAACAGACCCTCCCAGGGTCCCTCTGCCTTTTGGGTCTGTGGTTTGGGTTCGGGATTACAATTCCAGTCTCGCTTCTGCAGAACCTCAGCCCACATGACAGGCATCGGCTTAGCGTATTTCACAGCAAAACCTCTGAGCCTGTCCTGACCTTACGGAGGGCAGGGGAGAAAGCAACACATATAGTTCTGCACCAGGAAGGGATGGCATTAAAATCCCAGCTTTCCTTTGGCTGAGCAGGGTGAGCATGTTGTAAGACTTTTGGAGAAGTAAGAATTGGAGAGGGGGAAGGAGAGAGGTCTGGAAGTTTTTTTCTAATAGAAATGTTTTACCTAAAATATTTCATTTAGGACCTTGGAATTGGCCTGCAGGGGTGTTGGGAAGGCTGTGTGGAGCAATCTCCATCTGTGTCTGGTGAGTAGATCCCCTTTTTCTCTCTGGATGGACAGATTTCCATGGAAATCCCTTCCAATACAATATCCATACCTTCTTACATTCCCTCCCTCTCTTCTGTTCCCTGTGCAGGGGGAATACAATCAGTGCACTTACTTTGTCCGTACTGTCCATACTGGTAACCAGCCACCGGGTCCACACTGTAACTGGTGGTGCTGTAGGTGGGAGGACAGTAGGACTGAGAAGTCGGGAGGCTGTCCACGGACTTGATGGAGTCGCTCCGCTGGCTGCAGCTGGCAGAGATGGAGTTGGTGGTGTCCAAGCCACCGTGAAGGGGAGAGATGGAGAAGTCAGCCTGGGGTTGCGGAGGAACCCCGCTGGGGTTGCTCAGGATGCTCATCACCTGCAGAAACACAGGAGACAACATGTCAATGCCTGGGGGAGAAAGTGCAGCTGCCTTCATGCACACCAGGGAGAAACAGTCTACATATATTGGTGCTCTATCAGTACAATACACAGTACCAATATAGGTTTGGGCAGGCTGGAGGATGAAGGCCTGCTTCCACCAAGTAACAACAGATGGATCCCACAGTTTGCTCCTCTGTGTCTAAAGCTTTACGTGAAAGACCTTACTAAGGCTAATTGAGAAGTTCCTTCACAGCACACTCAATCTTTGGTCTTTCTTTGCTGACCTGCCAACAACGCTAGCTGTGCCCTTCAGAATGAGCACTGGAGAAAGGAATTTTGGGACAGCAGTTTGGGACAAACCTGCTTGACACACGCTGCCATGAACTAGCATCCCCTCCCTTCCTACGCACAGCCCTCACAGAAGAGGAGACACATAAGACAGGGAGCAAAAATCTGTATTTTCAAAAAGGGATGCTGAAGACAGCCCCTTTCTTGGGAGGACTGAGTGGGGCTTGGTTTGCAAATGTCCCTAACCAAACCAGATGAAAACCCTTTCTGGCTTTGATGCAGATTCAGCTTTAGGTACTGAAATGTCAAAGTTCTCTTTACTCTCAAATGTTAAAGGATAACAAGTCCTGGTTCGGCTCATTTCAGTGTAGCGCTTGGTTTGAAAATGTAATTAAATTTGCACACAAGCGATCTTCCTGCTTTGAGACCTGAAACAGATGAACTTTTTTTTTTTTTTTTTTCCTTCTTTTGCAGCAAAAATGCCAGATTTGTTCCTGTGGGTGAGTTTGGGGTAAGCCGGTGCCTACAGGCCTTCACACAAGGACCCTGATCCCACCAGCATTTTAATGCAATTGCCTTCTGCAATCAGCAAAATTACCCCCGGGCTGCCAAGTTAAGAGTGTAAAGAGTTTGCAGAAGCGGGGCCATGGCGAGGGAAGGAAGGGAACTCCTGATGCCTCTCGGTTGATCTCGGCAGCCGCCGCAGGCGCGCCATGCTGTATTTGTGCCGGGGAAGGGCGGGGGGAGAGGGGACAACCAGTCACCTCGGGGGGCCAGGCCAGCGCTCAGATGCCGAGCGGCTGAAAATCTCCGAATTTAGCATAACCTTATTGACATCAATTAAAGTGGCAAATTGGAAATATTTGGAGCCTGGCAAGTGGTAAAATGAGCCCTTTATCCCCCACCAGCAGCCTGGTGAGCTATTGTGCAGAGGATACATTCTCTGGAAGGACACAAGAGGGGTTGTATAGAGCGGCGTCTCCCCTTCCTGCTCACCCCGACACCTTCCCCATCCCCTCCTCCCTCACCTTCCTGCCGGAGTGGGGGCTTAGGCTGAATGACCAGCTACGCGCCGGCCTTTGCTTTCTAAAGCTTCTCCTCCCCCCGGATGGACTCAGGAGTCCTGCAAAGATGCTTTCCCTTGATGTGATGCCACCTCCCGACTCAGCCGGCCTGAGATCCTTCCCAGGAATTTGTCTGGGAGGGGAATTCAGGAGCAGGGGTGGCTGGACCCCCGTGGAGAAGGAGGCGGTGGGGAGGTACTGGGGAGGGGGTTAGTTAAAAAGCCTGGAAAATCAATCTAACCCCAACCACTGAGTTTGTCTGCAGTGTGGTACAGAGACACAGGAATGAGCTTTGAACAAGCTAAGTAAAAGCAGCACAGTGGCAGCAGCACAGAGCTCAGACAGGGTTCATTTACCCTCTCCTCCTTTGGGATTTTCAGCCTGCACTGTGCTTAGAGTTCGCTACTGGTCCCCAAAAGTTAAAACTGGCTTAGCTGTCTCTACACCGCGGGGCAGGTGGCACTTCAAACAAAGCCTAAATTACCCTCCGGGCACAGCTTCTTAATCAGATTAATTAAGCCTTGAGGTATCTAGATGAAGTTGTTGAGCCATAATGCTGTGCAAAATGTGCCTGTGGAACTCCTTGCCCCATGACAGCCCCAAGACTGAAAGATGAGGGGATGAAGAAAGGAAATTGCATTTAAATATGCAAGACAGTGGATTAGTATGAGAACAGGGCTGTCATGCTTTTCTGTGTGGATGTAAGGTAAACCTCTCTGCCTCAAGGCTTATGCAGCGGGGAAATCATGGGAGTGCAGCCTAAAGGTAGGCTTTCCAGCTGCAAAGTTATTTGTAACCTTCCACTAAAGCTGGGTCACGAACTTTGATCTGGCTCAGCTACGAACCCCTTCCAATGCCCCTCGATCCCACCGGCTGCTGGCAGACCTCCTAGCTTCAGCATCACCTTGGCTGTAGGTGTTACACCCTGCACCTCCTTGCCCTGACCGATATCCAGGACATTCACATATACAGCAGC